TTTTCCTGGACAGTCTGAGTCCAGCTTAAACAGTGATGGTCAGAATAATCACTGTAAAATTGGCTTCATCCTAAGGCTTCCTATGGGTTTCCTCCAGGTGTTCTGGTTAGAGAGGCTTATACTATTAACATAAAGATAGGTGGTTGCTGATTAACCCCAGAAGGGCCTAGAAGACTGGGAGAAAGCCAAACTGGCTTCTGCTCCATCTCTGCATCAGCTTTCAAGCTGTTAGAGTGGTAATGCCTGTGGAGTTGGACAGTGGTGTTGGAGAGAGAGACAAACCCCAGATGGGTTTTCAGATCCCAGGGGACAGACAACGGCAATAGATTTCAACCTCAGATCTTAAATGGAATGGGCAGAGATCTGGAACTCATCCAGAAGAACTGGCTCTAGAATCCCACAGCAGCAGGTTTAGAAACGCCATCAGAACTACCTTCCCCACCATCATAGGCTCCTAGGGAAACTGCAATTTTAGTCAGTAGATAAAAGTTTGAACAAGGTTTGATGAATGATTTAATCAACACTGACATACCCAGAGCTCAGGAAAGGGCAGGGAAATCCAGGGTTGTTTAGACTTGCCTCTGATTCACGTCTAGCCTCACGTCGACTGAAAAGAATACAGAGATGCTGACATTTGAATGTAGGTGTTTGGGGTTGGCCTTTTAACCAGCTGATGAGGTATAAAGGCAATGGTCTCTAATGAGTAAAGGGCAAAGCCCAGTATCATAATTCAATTCTCCCCCAGTCCTCTCCTTGAAGTGTGAATTCAGACAAAGCATAATTTCTCTGACTCAGGTGAAACAGGGCAACACCACACACGACCAGTCCTCTAAAAATACCAGGGAGATTTGTGAAAACTGCCAATGAAGAGCTTTGGGCATACTGGGAGAACACGATTGGCAAAGACCTTATCTACACAGACTCCTTCACTTGTGTTTTAAACCATATTTTGAAAGTAAATTGCTTTGGACTTGATATTCAAGACTCTGGGACCAGGGCCCCATGAGGCCTGAGGGTGGGGGCCTGGGGAAATGCAAGGGTCTGAGATGGGAACTAGGGATCCTTGCAAGGGTCAGAAAAAGCTCTGGGGGATTAGCAGAGCCAGACTATCTTCCTGCTCTGCTCCCTCTGGGTCCCTTGATGGAAGTTTCTTATGCTTCTGCTGATGTTTGATTTTGGGGAAAGGAAAACTGCTCCAAAGATTAGGAGAAAGAGGAAAGGTACTTGGGTCCCATGGTGGGAATGGGAGCCCGGGCTGTGGCTGGAGATCAGACCTACGGTGATGAGATGGGGGGAGGAAGAAGCAAGAGAGAATGAGTATCTTTGCAGCAATCCCATTAAGGGTTCAAAGAGCCCACCAGGGCCCATCCCCTCCTCATTCCCTCACAGACCCTCTAAAGGAAGCTACTTTGCCCCATGCTTGCAGCTCATCCCTCAGCCCACAGCTGACTGGCTGGCTAGTGACCAATGATGTTATCTGAGACAGAACAATAAGACGGGCCTGAGCCAATGAGATTGTCTCTTAGGAATTTTAACTAAGAATACCACGGAAAAAAGCCAATGGGAACTGAAGTTGAAAGGCTGAGGTATATAAGGAGGAGCTCAAGAGCTGAGGATGAGCCACATGCAAGCTGAAGTTTTGGGTAAGCAGAAACTGCAGTCTATAGGACATGTCTGCTGCGACATGAGTACCTCAGGCAGAAATGCAGAGGGAAGCAGAGACTCAGAGACTCTGAGGTAATAAATCCCCAGGGCTGCCTCTGCTCCTAAAGGCTTTCCAATTCCAGGCCACTTACATCCTTAAAAATACCTGTTCCTTTTTACCCGAAGTAACTAAGACTCTTCTCAATGAAGAGAGCCCAACTATAACTAATAATTTGTACCAGTTCCGTGTAGGTAAGCTGACAAGGAATTATCTGAAGACATTTGCTTTGGGGAGAATGAGTAGGCTGGTTCCCTTAGCAAACCCGGCTACTGCCATTGCTTACTTGGAAGCATCTTGTGTACTTGAGATCAGGTTTTAGGCAGGAAATAGTGTGTCCTAAGTTCTCTCTTTGTTCTTATGATGTCAGGGTAGGCTAAGACAATGTTTGAATCCTGAAGAAAGGAAGTCTTGGCATCTACAAAAAGTGGGCTGGTCTGAGAAAGCTAAGTCCTTTTTAAGTTACTAAGATCCAGGTCTACAAATCTCTTAGAGGGAAGCTTTAAAACCATGACTTCTTACCTAGTTAAAAGGAGCAAAGAGGTGTGGCAGCCATGTTGGTTCACCAGTGGGATCTCGTGAATCATTTCTCATCTCCAATTTCAGGGCTTAGGAGGGCTAAACTGGAAGGAAAACTGAGAGCAGCTCTTGTCAATATGAGACCTCATCTATTATGTCCACAGCCTGTTGGAAATGTCCCCCGGCAAGGCTGCCATCAGCACTTGACTGAAAACACATGGAAACAGCCCACTCAGAGCAGGAATTCATTATTGGAAGAATAATAAGGGAAAGTTTTTTTTTCCCCCTCCTCTCTCTCTCTTTCTTTCTCTCTCTCTCTGCTGGGAGAGCTGCTTTCTGGAAAAGTCACAGGGCTTAGAGGGAATTTGAATCATGTCTGGTAATAAGGGGAGGAATGGAGGAGAAAGGGCACGTTTCCAGAAGCCCTTTCATACAAAGCATGATAGTTATGGGCAACTCAAAATTAGTATTATTCATAATGTATTGTTGAAATCAGGCCATGGCTCCCTTTAACCCCTTATCCTTTCCTAGAGTTATTAGTGTCTGATAGCTCCAAGGGAAAAGTATCCAGAGTTAACTGGTTTTCCGTGGCTACTCCTCTCTTTCAAAATGGTTGCCTGTAGACTAAAATGGGCTATAAAAGTATTTGGTCTTCTTTCCCCAATACTAGCCGGTAAGTCTTCAATATACACTGGGTGATCCAAGGGAAAGTTATGTGCAAGGCATGAGTATGAAAGAAGGAGATAAGTGCCAGCTCACTGGCTACAGCATTATGTGGCAGACATTACAAGTGTTCACTAATATCTAGTTCTCCTTTCCTTCCAAATTCAGGGAGGTTTGTGTTTCCCACCTCCTTGGAGCTGGGTGTGGATGCATGACTGCTTGGCCATGAGAGCAGAAGTGATGTGTGTCAATTCTGGGGGGAAGCATTTAATTGCCAGTGCATGGCGCTTCTCTCTCTTCCCCTCCTGTGGAACTGTGGAAGTGCCTGTGGACACTAAAATGGAGTCCTGAGTCATCACATGGAGGACAACATCCCGGGAGAGTCTCTCAGACAGGCAGACTTTAAGTCATTAAGATTTTGGGGGTTATTTGTTTAGGTAGCAAAACCAAGCCAGCCCTGACTTATGCCCACTGCTGACTGGTCGACTCTCTTCCCAGATCTTTTGGAGTTCTGGAGAACTTGTGCTCCATCTGAACACTGTGCTCACTGAAATTCAGAGAGGTAGGCAGTGGGCTCTCTCTCACGCTTAAGATACTCTTTTAAGGATTGCGATGGGCTCCCTCCTTCCATTTGAGCAAAAGAGGTCTCTGTTGAATTCTGCAGTAGAATAAAGAAGGTCCTTTCACAGCCATAGGACAAAAAGCGATGGCGACAATACTGAAACCAAAGCTCAGAAAAAAATGACACTCCCAAATGGCTCTAAGGGAACCACACTTTCAAGGTCAGAATCTGATATTTTTGTACTTCCTCTTGCTTTCATTCCCCGCTTCCCCCTTACCTCATCCTCATTCCTCAGCTCCAGAGTTCTCATTTGGCACTCCTGATTTTGCCAGATAATCTTTTAAGTCCTGTCCCTGAGCAGTAACCTTGCTCACAACATACAAGACCCAATGCATAGAATTCAGCACTTCTGGGTTCCAGAAATGTTTACTCTGTGGGCTGATAGGGGCCACTTCGGAATCCTCACTAGGACTGCTGCTCGGAGGTTAGCACAGTTATGGAAGCAAAGTTGGACTCTGATATATAAATGTATATGTACACACACACATAGGAAAAAAAAAATCAGTGAGTTGCATCCAAGGTCAATACAAGATACCTCCCTAGCCTCTCACGGGAGGTACAAGTTTGGCAGCTTCTCAGCTCATGAATACCACCTGTGTCTTCTTTCTTGTGAACATTTCCTGGGGCAACTTTCCGGAGCCCGTCTCCTAATCTTTAATCATGGTGGAAAGAGAAGGAGGTAGTGATGGAGTCTCTACCAAACTCTCAGCACCGCTGCTCAGGCTTTCTGCAGCCACTCCTCCCAGTGCAAGATCAAACCACTAGTATTGCTGCTGGTGATTCTTTGGAAAACATTCATGGTGGTCCTATTATGTGCATGGTATTGTGCTGAGTACTTCAGTGAATTGACGATGACGAGGAGAAGTTGTAACAGATGTGAACAGAAATACGACATGGGTGAGGGGTGAGAGAGGAAGAAGCAAGACTGAGTGGGTTCAAATCCACCTTCCATCACTTTCTAGCAAGAGACTGGACTTCTGCCTTGTTGCTCATTCACGCAGGAGGAATACTGCGAAGTCCTACTGTGAGACTGTTAGGATTAGGTAAGCTCACACATATGTAGTGTGTCTCAGACATACAGCAACACTTAATAAATACTGGCAAGATGCAAAAACAGCACGTAGGTCCTGTCCTGGCAGCGTGGTGTGTGGTGAAAAGCCCTGTTGGAACTTGGAGCGGGAGAATGCCGGGATTGATTTGCCAGTCACCGGGTGTAGAGCACCGTCTTAAGGTTTCCTGGGGTCAAAAAAATAGGCTCAACGAGGAAGACGTCTAATCCTTGCCATTTGGGATTGGGAGATGTCTTCCTTGTACCTTTCTCAGACACTGCCGATTGCCCTGTTTTAGTGTGTGAACTGTTTAGCTTTTCTCTCTTGGTGGGCAGTGAAAGTGGAGAGAGACCAAATTAAGAGATACAGAGAATAAAACATCTTTCTCAACTTCTCAAATAGTCCCTTGAGATGTTTGAAATTAGTCAATTCATGTAGTAAGAACTCATAGGAAATATACATTTATTCAGCCACAAAAACTCAGCTTGGTTTTCACAAATGTTCTATTGGAGACCACAAGTTCCCAAAATGCATCTCACTCTGAGGGAGACAAATGACCACAGTCTGGAAAGTCTGCCTCCCCGACCTCTTCCAGGTCTACCAAAACCCTTCCTGCCTTCCAATGCCCAGCATGTTGTTTGCTCTCCAGGAATACCTTCCCTGATTCACTCCAGCTGGATAAAATGTTCCTGCTTTGTCCTTGCAGCATGTGGCTTGGATGCACATCTATCATATCATTTTATTTTATTCTGTTTTATATTATAGTTAGTAGTATATGAGTCTTTTCCATTCCTCACAGTACAGTTCTCGAGGATGGGACGCATATATCCTGTTTTTGTGAGCTGCACCACAGCATTTGGTATGTGCTCAACAAATACTGAGTTGTTCAAAGACTTAGGCATTCACTCACTCTTCACTGATCCGTACCTACTTTGTGCGCAGCGTTCTGCTGGGCACTGCCGGGCACAGGAAACATGAGATAGGATAAGACCTGACTGTAGCCTCCAAAGCATTTAAAAACCTCTGGACGGGGAGCAGGTCCCCATGCCAAAGGCCGGGAAGATTTGATGCCTGTCTTTGAAGGAGCTGAAGCCCCCAGGCCTTGCTCTGAACCCAGTCTTAAGGCTTTGGTTGGAAACTTCATGGCAGTAGGAGGGTGTAGGCTGGGTGTTCTGCTGGAAACAACTAAATTACCCTATGGGTCACCAATTGGTTTATTTGCTAATTGGCCCAGCTTTGGGCTTTAAATCTAAAGAAATCATTTCATCCTTTATTAAATACTGCATGAATCTCACTCTTTGTTCTGCAGGGCTATACACAATATACTAGTGAAACTTGAATTTACACCACAATAGCCGTGCTACTAAGGACCTTCCAAATGCCACTAATACCATACATGTTCCGCTTCTCAGCTGGATCCGAACCTGCCAGTGAATTCTGAGCCCATCGACCTCCCTCTGACACAGGAGCAGACCCCCACACCCATGCCCGCCCCCAGCCTCCCCATCTTTCCATGATTTAATTTCTGAAATCAGTTACTCTGTGGAGACCCCAATTCCTTTACACCCACTCTTTTTATATGGTGGACAATACTTTATTCGGAAATGTTCCCTCCTGTAATTACAAATCCTGTTAGTCATCCTCCTCCTCTCCCCAGGGGGATTGTGGGCTTTAATTAATTAACGTGGCTAAACTGCTTTGAGGTGCCTGGTTGAAAGGTGCTATATAAGTGCAAATTATTATTATTATGGCTGTTGACATCCCATGGCGGCAAAGCCTGCAGCCCCACGCATCTACAGACCTGAACAAAGGCTTCTTCATCCTCACCTTCCCTGCTAGGTCTGAGATGGCTGGCTCAATGGTGTGGGGGCAAATCTGTTACCATCTCAACATCAATCAACTAATTAATCCCCATTATGTTGGCTTCCGTTTCCTTCTTCCAAGCAGCACCATCCTGTTTCATTTCACAAATCGTGCCCCCAGCAGCTCTAGACAATGGTCATAGTGTCCCTATGGCTTCTGTTGGCCTAAAGGAGAGAAAAAAAAAAAAAAAAAAGAGGGAGAGAAAATAAGTTTGAAGAAAAAAGTGTCATCATGAAATGTACTAACTTCTCACTAACAGTCTAAATAAAACTTTCCTTCCAGCTGTAGTCCCCTTGCACACATACATACCTTTCTATTACCTAGGGAGCCGGCAGCCTCACAAACCAGAGACACCCAGAAATACAGCATAGGTGTGGGGTAAGGTCCCGCAGCCCCAGCTTGACCACTGATAGCTACAGACAAAAGCCCTTTCTGGGCTGGGTGGGAAGAGGTCATCCAGAGAGGTGGGAGCCCCTCTTTGGCTTCCTCCACTAGCTCCACGTTTCCCCTGAGAAAGCCAGCTGCCATCTGTAGCCAGGAAGCCCTCACAAAGACAGGGGACCATGATTTAGATGTTTTGTGCTGCACCTAGCAAACCTCAGCCCTTAACAAATGCCCAGTACTTCCACTGTGATGGTAGCCATTGAAAGCAGCCCTGTGGGGGAGACGTGGCCTCTTGAAGGGACGCTGCTGACCAAAATGCTCCTTACAAGGTTGTGCCTCAGACCCTTTGTTAGCGTGGACGTGGGTGAGCCTCAGGGGGTCATGTCTTCATCTGCCTCCATTTATCCTCCCTATTGAAGGGCTCCTTCAGGACATCGGTCAGTCTCTGTGGGAAGTGATTTGGAGGGCAACAAAAGAACTTGGGCCCTTTGGGGGGCCTTCAGAATTCAGTAAACATCTGGACACGGAAGGCCAGGTTCTCAAGCAGTCTAGCTGGGGAGATGTCAAAAGAGAGAAAAAGCTGTGTGTGCAATGCAATCTCTTAGTTCTGTGGCAACATTTGTTGGAGAAAAACACAGCCGCCCCAGTAGGTAGATAGGAAGATTTTTCAAAAGCTCCTCTATTTGTCAGTTTTTGTGAGGGCAGAGTACTGTTTGTCAGCTCTTGCGGCATGTGTGAGGAAGCAGAAGTTTCGCATGGCTGGGGAGCAGCATGTGATGGATGTTCCGATTCTCTATGTACGCTGAATAACCCATGGTTGCACAAGCCTGTCCTGGGAGTTGTTGTTAAGCATTTCTGTTATCCCTGAGGTTTGGAAAACACTTTCTAGTCAAGGTGACTTGTTAGATCCTCATCATGAGCACATTTTAATTGACCAAAAAATGAAGTACTAAGGCTAAGGGATTTACATTTCATCACATGGTGAAATACAGGATCTGAACTCTTGACTCTCAATATTCCCTTTATTATTGAATCAATCCATTAGAACACATTAGTCAGCATGATTCAACATTAGTCACATGGCACTAATCAGTATTCCCCAGGGTTCCCAAATCTATCCTCAAACAGGGAAAGAAACTGGCCTCTATCAAGAGACAATCAGGGGCTGACGTCCAATTCAAGCCCCTCTCCCCCATGCACACTCTCAGGAACCTTCCTCAGTCATCCATTTGAAATGATTCTATTTCCTTTATCCATATCACATTATTTGAACCTCAATAATAGGTGTCACAGTTTGCCTTTGATCAAACTTATTTTGTTTTTGAGCTAACTAGATTTTGAGCTACTAAAAGAGAGGGACCATTTTTTTTTTCCAGGCTTATATCCTCTGAACACCATGGTTTACAAACTGTTGATACCTCAACAAATACCTGCTGAACTGAAGTCACTGAAATGGAGCTTAAGTCATATTCCAGAAAGAACACCAAGTCCTCTTGGAAGAAGTTTTCAAAGAAAATCAACAACCTGAATTGATTTAACATCTTTTAGTATTATTACCTGGGCATTTTCACAAATGCAAATTGTTAGCTCTGCAAAGATAGCCAAATGGCTTCCAGGTTCTCAAAGAGTGTGGATCCAGTCTAACTATAGTCCAGGCCTTGGAATAAAGTTTTTTTCTATAACCTTATTCCAACTGACAATTTGTTCCATGTTTAAAAAAATGTGGACACAGGAAAAAACATTTTGGGGGAAAAATGTGTTTAGTCTATGACTTTGGACCAAAAGTCATACCTGCTTTGTGCTATAAGCACAAGTAGCTCTTGTTCAAGTATCTTTCTTGCATAGTGTATAATAGCAGAACACATACTAAAGTTTCGGCTTGACAGAGATTCTGTTATGGTGGGGGACCAAGATTTTTGGTGCTGATCCTTGATGGCATTACTGATTGTGATACCCTACTTCTCTGCTCTAGACTCTACCAAAAAGGGTACTGATAGCATTTTTAACATACAATATTTACAATACAATACTTATGTTGCATTTCAACATGCTAAGAGCCCAACCCTAGGGTCTGTACTACTGCACCCTGGGGTCTAATCTCTGCAACTGTGCTCCTCTGAAAGGGATGTGTCACTGAATATTCATCTCTCCTTCTCTCCCATGGTAAAACTCCCAAAACTTAGCTGGGAACATGGACACCCGGATAAACAACTGCATTTTCCAGTCCTTCTTCCCATACATCTACAAATTGGCCAATATGATTAAAGTAGAAATAGTGTGTGTAACTTCTGGTTAATATCTTAAAAGAAGGAGGATGCCCTTTCCTCCCACCATCATTCTCTACCCCATACAAATTCTGCTACAAATTCTGGATGGAGGTCATGATGCTGAGCCATTGTGGACCATGACAACAAGGGCAACATCCTAGGTGTGATGGGGCAACAAGCTAAGAGCCTGGGTCCTTGGACAAACACATGGGATGAGCTGCTATACTAGCTCTGGACTGTATTCCTCTGCAGTGCTATGTGAGAAAGCAGGAAACCTCTACTTTGTGTGCCACTGTTAATTTAGATTGTGATTCCACCCAGCCAAACTTACAACCCACCTCAAGAACTTTCTTGAGGGATTGATTACATTAGTGTGACTGATCCATCCTAGCTTAGGATTTCAAGATTCAAGATTCAGGACAGAACTGGTATATCCCAACAGAGGCTCATGAAGCCTGAGAAATAAGTTACCAGAGGGGCTTCCGTGATGGAGGATGAGAGGATCCAAACCCATTTCTGATTTAATAAAATCTTAGGAGCCCTGAGTACCTAAAAAGGTCTACAAACATAATTTTGGGCAGTGAACACCACTTTGCCTTTCTGGAACTCAGTCTGCTGACCTGAAAATAAGGGTGATGGACAAAACTAAAATCTCTCATTCTTGGAAGTGTATATAGCTAACTTTGGGAGGAATTAAAGTAATTTTTGTCAACTAATCATCTTAGTATATGCATAAAGCACATGTGTTGTGCAGAAGATCCCTCTAGAGACTATGGAAAGATTATACCCCAATGGCAGAGATAAAAGAGGCATCTATAAAGAATACAAAGAAGACTGCCCATGGAAACATGACAACAAACTTATAATTACACACAGCTGTGTAGAAATTGGTCCACTACCTCCAGAGGAAGTTTAAATTGGTAAACGTCCTTGGAAAGCAACTTGGGAATATATAGTAAAGATTAAAATGTGCATACCCTCTGAGTAGTCATTCCACTTTTTCTATATACCTACAGAAACTCTCATACCAGCATACCAAGTAGCACGTGCAACAGAATTCACTAAGTTAACAAATGACTGAAGTTTCCATCAACAGGGGAATGGATAATATGGTATATTCATACAATGAATATGGATACCTCATTAAAGTGAAAGAATGTTCACTATGATACACTATGCGTATCAATGTGGATAAATTGTAAAAACACAACGTGAAGTGACAAAAGCGAGTTGTGGAATGATGTGTATAATAAACCATTTATGCAAACTTGGAAAGCACTCAAAACAAATCATAATATTATGTGTGGATTCACATGTAGAAAAGTTCTTCAGCATGACGAGAAGGATGTATACAAAACCCTGGAGAATTTTTACTTCTGTGGAGGAGTGCGAGGCAGGGAAGGAAGGACTGGGACAGGTACAAAGGAGTTTTTTATTTTGTCAAGTTTTATACCTATAATAAAAAAAGACCTGAAGCAAATGTGACAAAATTTGAACATTTGCTAATTCTGGGTGTTCAAGTCATGGGTTTTATTATTTTCTGTCCTGTTCTGTATTTAAAATTTTTTTTTTTCACACTGAAAACAAAATCTCTCTTTGAAGCTGATAGCCAGAGTAAAAGAAGTAAACAAAGCAGAAGGTTGGTGTGAGGAGATGTCATGGAGGCAGGGAATGTGAAATAAATGTCAAAAAAGAGGAGAGAACTGGCAGAGGGGCATCCTTCCTCATTTTCCCCAGAAAACTCCTCCCTGACAGGTAGGCAGGAGCCACAGAGGTCAAGGCCTTGGCCTGCCCCAGCTTTCTGAGGCTGCAGGGGCACCTGGCAGCCAAGAGACAACGTGACAGACCTGCTCTGCCCTCTTGTCTGTGACCTCTGGGAGAGGAGTTCACTCTCTCTGCTCCACTGAATCCCAGGGCTCTTTGCCCAGGCTCCCACAAGAATGCCAGGCTATGCCAGGTGTGTGGGTTGTATTTATGAAGGAGACCTCCATACCTGGATGGAAATGAATTGAGAATCTTCTGGGTCACATTGAGTCTACCAGGCAGAAAACATTTATATGGGTTACTAATTCCAACTGAAATCTGATGAACTTAGATGGTAGTATTTGGGGGAAAAGAATTTTTCAATAAATCATCCATTTGGCTCAGTGACTAAGAAAATGGGATGGGAGAATCTAACCCAACTCTGTGACAAGGGAACAAATAGAGGAGATTAATGCCTCTCCCAATAAGCTTCAAAAGGCGATCAAACAACCATTCTTGATTTTACAAGAAAGATGAGGTGCATAGCTTTCCAGCTCTTAAGAAAAATCATTGTTTCCTTGTTTTCTGGTTTCTTCTGAGTCCCTATATTAGGTGGCTGGAAAAACAGGAAACTAGCTTCATTTGCAGAGTCTTCTCTGGACCCATCTCAGGGTGCCCTGGGCTCCCCCTGAGGTTCCCCAGCCCTATCCCAAGGTTTATGCTGCTCATTCAGGCTTAAACTAACAAAGAACAGCACCAGAATCCAAATTCAACCTGTCCTACCTAATTTTAATTTTTTAAAAACAACATAAAAACCACAATTCTGTCCTACCAAGAAACTAAGCCATTATCTTATGTCCTTAACAACCTGGCTTTTGTTTTTTAAATGCTCCCTGGATTCCGAGGAAATGGAGAGAGTAGGGCAAAGGAAGAGTGAATAAGGAGGAGGCCCTGCTGACTTGGCCTCTTCACCCTCCCTGGCCAGCCCCGCTTCCTTACCAAGTCGACAGGCCTCCACGGCCATGAGTCCAGGACGGAGGCCAGGCTGGCTCTGGGAGAGCCTGGCCTGGGGGTTTCCCGGGGCCTCCTGCAGCATCAGCAACACGGCCTGGCTGTTTTCAATTACAGAATCTTAATCTTTATTTCTGGCCTGACCCAGAGGTCCAGAGGTCCCAGCTGTGTTCTGCAGGGCACAACATTTGGGGCTTGTTGGGGAAACAAAGAACACGACCAGAGCAGAACACGGGTCAAGTTGGAGTTCCCTGTAAATGCTCCCTTCCCTTCTGCGGCCCTGTGGTTTTTGTGGGCCCATAATTAAGGCCGATTCCCAAAGCCAGCCCCTGCTTTTTCCTCTCCCCTAGGTTCCCGCGCCCCTTAGCCTCACTCTGAACCGGCCAAAACTCTCAGCTTTTCTACCCAGTGGGCGCAGGAGAAGAGGATTCATGGGAGCCACCCCCACACCCTCCACCTTTCCCACCTCAGTTGCACAAAAGGTCTGTCTCTCCCTCTGCTGGGACCTGGCCCGTCTCAGAGCCTGAACCATCAGGAAGCTGATGGCTGTGAGCTTCCACTCCTTTGGGGCCAAGTATTTCCAGGGTGTTGAGCCCAACCATGAGGCCACGATCTCGACAAGTGCAGGATAGACAAAGAAAACACAAACAGCAGAGCATGACCATGGGAATGGCCTGAGCAGGAGGCTTCCTGAAAATGCTGGGAGGGTGGGTTTTCTTTTTACTTTTTTTCTTTTCTTTTCTTTTCTTTCTTTCTTTTTTTCTTTCTCTCTCTCTCTCTCCCTTTTTCTCTCTCTCTCTTTTTTTTTCTTTTTGCAAAAGGAAAATAGTTCCGCTTTCTATTTTACGACAACAATAGCACGGACTGGCTCCTTCAAGTATTTCAAAAAGCAGCCTGAGAAATCTCTAACCAGGCCCCTCAGTCTCTCCGGCCTACGGACGTATTGTTCCTCCCAGCCCAGGGAACAAAGGGGCAGGAAGGGTATAAGGCCCCCAGTTGCTGGCTCTTCTTAGCATCCTAATCCTTGAGAACTCTTGAGGGGAATGGCCTGTGGAGCTGGGAAATCGAATTTTGGCCTCATCTTTTATTTCCACCCTCTGCTTATGCACACAGGAGCACTTCAGGTATTATAAAACCTCCTGGTGAGCAGGATGGTAGGAGTCTTGGACTTGCTAAGGGGATAAAAGGCACTGAGGGATCATTCCCACATTCACTAACCCCCTGAAAAAAGGGTAGCCTATAGGAATTGTTTCTTCTTACCACTCCAGGCTGGCTCCATTACAAATCCCAAATGTCCAGTCCCAAGGGGCTGGGCTGGCAGTTTCTTTTGTAGTCGGTAGCTGCCCTCCCTCTTCCAGCCCTTCCCCTCTCTGTCTCTCTGCCCCTCAGACATGGATTACATTCCCCCCCACCCAATTCCTCAGTACTAGGTACCCACCAACCTCCATGCCAACTTGGGGCTATCATGCCAGAGCAACCCCTCACATAAGGAAAGCTTCTTGGCCTTGGCTGTTGGTATCTTTCCAAGGTTATCACCCAGGAATCAAAGGTTTCTTTGCCTTAAACCTGGGGAATTGTGTAGGTGGGTTTTGTTTTGTTTTGTTTTGTTTAGCTCAGTCATCTGGTAAGAGTGGGGGGGGAAAAATAAGCTTTTCTGGTGTGTGGAGATCTCAAGGTACAACTCTGCTGAGCTAAGTGATGAAAAGTACGCCCTCTCCTAGGAGAATCAGATAAGCTGAAGGGTTAAGGCCTTTAGAGGTCACCCAGGCCAATGACTACAGTCCAAGTAAGAAAAACATTTTGCACTGTATATACACAAATTCATAATGAACACACACTGTCACACAAGAAATATTTCATGAAACAGTGCAATACGTGTGATGTAATCTGATATTTTCAATTCTCCTCTATTTGATTTTTAAAAATTCTGGTTGTGACTCATTAATTTCATTTCATGACCCACCAGTGGGTTGCAACACAGTTTGCAAAGCGCTGAATCAAGGTCAACATTGTCATTTTCAAGCTGACAAAACTAGGGTGACAAGAGATTTTTCTCAAGATCACACCAGAGCTGGAACAGAAATCCACGGGGTCTCTCCACTAAAGGAGGGATCGTCATCTTTCTCAGGTTCAGAGCTCCTTTTTGTTTTCCCAAAGTCTTGGGAGCACACAGCTATTGGGGAGGGAGTGCCCAGAGGTTTGTATTCAGTGGCGTTCCTGCTAGGGGCAGAAGGGTTCTGCTGCCCCAGAAAACCTTACAGAGGGAGGTGTAGCTGGGGGAGTGGGGTCGAGAAAAAGCTTCAAAAGCAACCAGGTGAGGCACTGTGGCCTCCCAGACATTTTTATTTACTGGTCGGGGTTCCTGCATCATCGGACACTTTCCTGAATTTTTCTCTTTCCTGGACACACAGCTGTAGGTCATCCTCCTTTAGTAATCCACCTTCTCCTTTGTTTTCTGGCTTTTTCTAATAGTCTTTGCAGATATTTAACCTCTACCAATTCATTTCATTTCTAGCCTCTACTCTCTGTCCACAATTCCTATTTCCTGTCCAAATCACGATCGTAGCAATGAGTGCCAGAGAGGCAACTCTGTGAATCTTGTTCCCACAAATATTATCCTAAAAGTATCCTAAAAGATTAGGTCAGGCTTAGAAATGCTATTTACCAAAAGGCCCAGGGATCAAGAGAGAGGCACTGTATCAAGGCTCTCAATACAAGCCATCTGGGCAGAACTGCCTCTTTGCTTCCTGAAATTGCCTTGTAGTCTTCCATAGAATTTCTTAAAATCTTCATCTAAATTTGCTACTTAGTTGATTTCTAATCTTTTAAGAAAGCCTCTAAAAATGAAGAGCCAAAAGCCACACGGTGTCCTGGGTAAATAAAAGTTCAGCTTTCTGATTGCTTATTAGTTATACACCCTTAGAGAGTATGTAACAAAGGGGCCTGCTGTTTGCTTTGCTTAATCTGGTCTTAAAATCTCTGCTTCTTTGTCAGAAAACAATATTTGCAATTGTAAAAAAAATATTTACCAAGGAACTTGGATAGCATAAGTCAAAGGCTAAGAGCCAAAGGTCAGTAGTTCTTACCCCAAATTTCCCTGGACCTGAGTCCCTGCTGTGGGGCTCAGCTGCACCAAACAAACAAGCTGCTTTCCGGGTCCATTAAGAAGCGGGCGTTTTAGAAGGGGAAGGAAAGGGAAGGCTGCAGCCTGTTCCTCGGTCCAAAGCATGAACCCTCCGGCCTGCCCCACAGAATTCCTGCTAGATCTCTGCAATGCAGTGTGTCTCCATGGGAACATCGTAAGGGCTCTCCCTGTTTCATAAACCTGGGAAAAGCACTCAACTTACAAAATCCTAAAGGGCAGATATTCCTCCCATTGACAGCAACGCCAATATGCTCCCCTCGGCTTCAGACCAGATGTTCACCCGTGCATTCTGTGGGGAGGGCCTCCTGCCTGACAGTGGGGGACAGATGTGCATCTGAGCACCTCTGTGGGGACCGTTCTCAACCTACAAAGCAGCTTCGGACATCTGGCTCTCTGAGCTAAGTTCAGTGGTGTTCGAATTTACCTCTCATGTTCATTATTTTTTGCAATCACCAGAAGATCCAGCATTGGGAACCAGGCCTGTAGATCAGTGAGTTCCAGGTTGTGGCGTGGGGGCACTCAACGGTGAGTCAGAACTCCACTCCTTCTGAGTCCCAGGCCCCTGTCACCAGAGCCGGTCAGCAAGGCGTGGTCCCCAGTTGGGACTTGGGTAAAGGGACCGGACATGGAGTAACCAGAAAGAGGCCGAGGAAGTAATGCTCACGGAGCCATGACAAAGTGCCCCACAGGCGGCCAGACCAGATGGTTTGTCAGGTCCTCCACACTGGTGTCAGAGGCCTACTGCCCACTTCCTCACTCCATAGGATCTGCGAAGAGGCCTGGGGGTTGGCAGTTCCTAGATCTGTGCTTTAACCCTCAGCCTTTGTTGCACTCTGTTAGGAAATTTAGCAGTTCTCCCCCAGCCCTACCTCCACCTTCTGTTAAGTTCTTGCCACAACTGCCAATCTCTTTTATCTCATTAGGATAAATATCATTGGCAAATTCATCTTGGCCTTTGATTCTGTCCCGAAGTAGCTTCTACCAGGAGCGCACCAGCCAGAGGCAGCACTGAGCATAGTCAGCTTAAAGAAATGGTTTAATCCGAGGATCTTACCTTGAAGAACCAGGCCTTCCTTCTTGATGGTGTAGGCAAATGAGGTGAAGGGAGCCAGAGGGGACTTGGCGATGAGAATCTGCACACAAAGCATATTTTGCCAGGGCTGGTCAAAGGGCATATCAGAGATGACCCTCTATTCATTCCCCTTCCCATTTTGAGACAAAGTGGGGACATGTGACTACAAACTATAAAGTTTATTTTAAAAAATTATTTTAGAACCAAATGAGTGTTATTCCTTCAATCAGCTGGTCATTTTGGAAAGCTATACATTTATCCCAACTATTCTGCCACTGAATGCCATATTCCTGGGCCGGTTCTTCTAGAAATGTTTCATTATTTTATGTCACATGCTTAAACAGCTACCTTTCTGCCCAAAGATAAACCTAAACTGATTCTCTAAACTTACTCAGAAATTTAGCTATTTTGCTAAAAAGAAATTCAAAGCTACCCTCAAAAGATAAAGATTTACCCTCATTATAAATATTCAAAATAACTCAGTAAAAGCAAAGCCATGATAATTTGCTTTCTTGGCCCCAACTCTTCACCAAGGCTATTCATACCGTTTGCCATGTGACTACATTTCCTCTTACTTAAGGTGTAGGTGTTTCCCATGGTCCTGGACCATGGTTTTGGCCATATAACTTGCTTTCCTAATAGGTTCTCTGCCAAGGCTTCGAGAAGCCTCTCATATCTTCACTTGCTCATATGTTTCCGCTAAATGCCAGAGAAAAACATGTCCACGCTAACCTGCTCTCTCAGAAGGAGGATGAGAGACACCTGGAGCAGCGCTGGCCAGCCAGCCCCAGTCTAAAGAGCTGACCCCCAGGAGACCCATGTACCCATTGGTTAAATGCTTATTACTGCACACCTCTGAGATTTGGGTGTGGTTGTCCTAAAGCATCATTGGAGCAAGAGCTGACTGATATACCAGCCAACACACAATATCAAAACTATTTTGAGCAGTGGCATTCTCCTAACAAAATACCTCCTTTAAAAGGGACAGTTATTTGATCATTAAAAAAATGATTACCATTAACAACGATTACCATACTTCATATGGTTCCATAGTAGCTCTAAGGACTGGTGAATTATTTTATTATAACAAGTCTCTTGAAGGAAGATGAAAATCAGTTTCCTGCTTTAAAAAGTAACATTGTCAAAGATAGTAACAGTTTAGCACAGAGCCACTTAGGTAATCAGGGCGGCAAGAGAGAAGGAAGAAGTACTTTCAAATAACCAGAAGGCTTATGTGTAATATCTCAATTTATCTCCGTTCAACAAACATTTACTGACTGTCAGCTATGAGAAATGGCGGTATAATGTGGTGAAAGATCACAGGTTGTAGTCATAGAGTTTGAATCTCGGCTCTTCCACTAATCAGCTTGGTGCCTATGGCAAGGCCTGCAATTTTCCCCTCATAGCCAATCTCCCTTCTTCTTTTTAGTTAATAACTCCCCAGGTTTCAACATTTCTTTGCCTCTTTTGCAACTGGGTGTGGCCATGTGACCAAGCTTTGACTGACAGACTGTGAGTACAAGTGACAGGTAGCACTTCCAATATTTTGAAAACTTACGTTTTCATTAAATAATTATGTGCTCTCCGCTTTCCCTTTCCCTCTTCCCAAGGGCAGGGACCAGCTTCAACCCCATGGAGGTGGACATCCTGGGAGATGATGAAGCAACACGGGAGAAGGAAGTGGGGTAACCTCATAAAGCATCCGCGCTTCCCACCTGGGGTCATCTGCCCATCTCAAGATAGAGCCACTTTCCTGAACCACTGAGTTCCCACTGTTTTTGTTACTATGGTGTATATAGCCTGAATTCTAACCAATACTGTGGCTCTGCACAACCTAACCTTTTGGATTCTCCATTTCCTCACATGGTAAAATGGGGATAACAACATCCACCTAAATGGGATTATTGTGAGGATTAAATTAAATATATAAAATTCCTGTCACGGGGTCAAACTCACAAAAACATTTCCAAACAACTCATCACATATTCTTCCCAAGTGCTTCCCTTGATTTTCACTCATCAAAAACAAAAATACTTTACTTTTACTGGAAGGATTCAACTCAAGTTAACTCTCAATAATTTTTACTACTGCTCCAAAGTTATCTAGATAAACTTGCTCATCATTCTCAGAACCAATGAGTAGATGGTACAGGTGGGCATTTGCATCTTCATGTCAAAAACATCTCCCCTGAAAATTAGATGGAACCTTTCTGACAGAGATAGTTTAGGGATGGTTCAATGTGAAGTTTATGGATGCCCCTTGGTAGGAGAATGGCATAACAGAAGAGAGGATAGTGCTTCCCAAACTTCAATGTGCGTATGAATCACCTACAGATCTTGTTGACATGCAGTTTCTCATTCAGTAGATTTTGAGTGGGGCCGGAGAATCTGCATTTCTAGCAAGCTCTGAGGAGATGCTGATGCTGTACTCCACAGACCACATTTTGAGCAGCTGGCTTCCAGGAAATTAGCCTGACTGAAGAATCTAAGATGAAGAAGCAAGAGACAGGAGTCCTGGAGCCCATTAGAATGCTACTGTGATAATTCAGGGATGAGATGACAAGGGCCTCAACCACAGCTGTGTCAGAAAGAATGGGAAAAAAGGAAATGGAGAAAAGAAATATAAATCCTTTAGATCAAAGAGCAATAGAAATAAACTAAACATATCCCAAACCTCAGATCTTTATTGTCTGCATGAAGCAACTGGACATGAAACCAAAAGGATATAAATAAATGATAATCAATAAAGTATCACACTATATTTTTAAAAATTATATTACCATTTTTACTTGATAGACTGCAAAATCTGAGACTCAGGAAAACAAAGGATGTGATATTCCAGTGTAATACAACAAATGGGATCTAAGCCTAAGCCTCTAGCTCAGTGGAGCTGCCTCCATCATTTGAATGCTTCCACTCCCAGCAAGCACAATGCTCACTGTGAATAAAGCCAGGAGGGCCTCACTTGGAGGGACTTCACACCTGGAAGGACCTCCCTTCCAGGGAATCACTGGGTTTGGGCAGGTCATTGATTAATGTCCTGTTCTTCCTGTGTAGGGTTTAAAATGGGTTATCAAAAGGATGGTTTGTATGCAGTTAGAAAGAGGAAGTGATCAGTTATGTCAGATGAATCCCACTTCCTTTTTTTGGTAAGAATTGCCAGATTAATAGATGAGAGAGCTACCACCAACATGAAATATCTGATTTTCAGCAAAAAATGTAACAAATATTCAATATCCTTCTGGATAAAGGGAAGACATGTTGGGCTGGATGCTAATACCATTAAGTAGATCTGGAAGTGACAAGAAGATCAATAGCAACCTCTAGTAGAATGTACTGGATTCTAGCCTTGGTCCTGTCAATGTTCAACATTCTTACTGACCTGGATAAAGACAATGAATCAACCGTACCCATACAACAAATATGGGATCCATCAGAGAACAGAACTAACAAAAATTGCCACCCTAACGGAGCTTATATTCTAAAGGAAGAAAAAGATAATAAACAAAACAAATAGGTAGAATATATGGTATATTAGATGATTATGCATGCTGTGGAGGGAAAAAAGGCAGAGAAAGATCAGAGAAAAGGGTCAATTTTAAACAGAGTACTAAGAGAAGACCTTACTAAAAAAGGTGACATTTAGACTTGTGGATCATGTCATTAAACACATTAATGGGATGCTGAATATGGTAACAGAAGACAAAAAATTTAGAGGTGTTGGGTGGCCCAGTCAGTTAAACGTCTGCCTTCAGCTCTGGTCCTGATCCCAGGGTCTGGGATAGAGCCCCGTGTTGGGGTGCCTGCTCAGCAGGGAGTTGGCTTCTCCCTCTGCCTCTCCCCACCATCCACTCCCCTGCTCATGCTAGCACGAGCTCTCTCTCTCAAATAAATAAATTAAATCTAAAAAAAAGTTTTATATTGGATTAGATCATCATAATATCAAAACAAATCTCAGTTTAGTTAGAAGGTTGGGACAAATCCTACAAATATTTTAGAATGAAATTTTATTGAAACATGTGTAAGGCCTTGTCCTTGAGGACAGAGGACCAACTACTGGTTACAGAATGGGGGACATGAGATTAAACATTCAGAAGATGGATTAGGAGTGCTAGTTAACTACAGTTCAGTGTGAGTTGGTTGTGGGATGTGGTTCACAAAAATCTAGTGTGGTCTCAGGTTGTTTCAGTGCAGACGTAGTATCTGGAACAAGAGAAGTGATGGTCCTTTTCTTCTCATTCAGCAAACCATACTGGGTGCAGCATGTTTGGATCGCAGCCTAAATTCCAAAGGGGAAACCGACAAATAAGAGAACAACTGGAGGAGAACCATCAAGTGGTTAAACACGCAAAGCAACCCATGACCACAAACACTTCAACGCAAACATGATGTTAAGAGGTCTGGGGTGAAGGTGCATATGGCTTTTAATATGGGTTTTCTTTCTTTTTTTTTATATGAGTTTTCTGACATGAAGATTCTGTAGTGTTACATAGTAGAGAGGGGAAGTGTAAATTCATTTTCTAGACCAACACATTTCAGAGAAAAGGTGATGTTTGCCATGTATCTTTGTGACACATACAGAATCTTCCCTTTTGAACACTTGATTGAATACCCCATGCCCTTGTGCCTTTCTGCCTTTCAAACTACAAATTATCCTTTTCTAAAGCAAACAACCTTCCCTAGTAGATGATTCGGGCTGTTCTGTTTTCGATGTTCAGTCATCCCATAAATTTGGGATGTTCTAATCATTGTCTGACTTGTGCTGTTGTCAAGTATCATTCCACCTTCTTCAATAATGACCTACAGGGAGGGTCTGACTGCTTAATAAAACTCCAGGGCCCTAGTGAAAAATTTTTATCATACTCAACCCTGTGTGCAATGTGTGAAGTTGGTTTTAGAATCCTCTGAGGGTTCACAGAAATACGTAGTTGGGCAAGAATGAGCGCAGACACAGTGGCTCAGAAAGCCCAAGGCCCCACAAGGCAGGTGTGTCACATTGTGAGCTGTTATCCCCCCTGCAAATAGCCAGGTTGTTTTTTCTTGAATATTTCCTTCATATCAG